TACTGGAACAATAGTACAGAGGAGTTAATTTTTATTTCTACAGTGTTAAAAGTGCACTTATATGCTGGTTTATTTACATCTTGGGGAAAGGCGAGAGACTGCAAATAGGGAGATTATTACTACTTTCTTTTTTAAAAAAAGAAGGCTTAAGGCAAATTTTAAGACTAAAAATGTTTAAGCAATTATAAACAAGGCTAGACCCTTTGAAAAAAGTTTAGAAATATTCTTAACATAAATTTTTATAGTGTTAATTTTGTAATAATTTATGTTTTGCTATACTTCAGAGCTAACTGACCGGTATAGTTTCAGAAACAGTATGAAACTTAGGAAAGTTTAAGCAATGTTTATATTTTTAAAATGTTCTTTGAATTATGTTTTTATTGTACATTTCTTCAGACTGAAAAATGTGTACATATCTTTGTTATTTTTGCACAATTTTTGTCTTGTTCAGTTTTAGGAGCAGTACTATGTTGATTTTTTTATTTTATTTTGAGTTATAAAACTGCAGGAGTTTAAAAATCTCAGTAACAAAGTCATCCTCTGTAATCAATGAACTGCTATTTCTAGTTGTTGAGGGAAAACGGTGGTTGTGAGATTCAGTGGTTGCTTCTGAGAAATAATGCTAATCAATGACCGAAGGAGCAATTTTGTAGTTCTAGGAAGCTTTAGCTCTTTCCATGCATCTTTTCATTGGAAAGCTGGAATATGGAGCCTGTCCTTTGAATGCTGCTTAATTTTTTTTTTCAACTGGCTTACACCTGACAGCATTTCAGGCAAGTTAAGCACCAAGTAAAATCCCACAGTGTTCTTTCATCATCAAAGAATCATTATTTAATTATCTGTATCAAAAATTTCAGCCTGAGAAGTGAAATGGAAGTAAACATTTGAAAAAAATGGATACAAACTGGACCAGCCTATAATGCATTATTAGTGTAGCATTCACTCGGTAGTTCTTTTTCTTCCCCATTTGCCTGAAAATCTTGTGATTTGTTTCCAGCAATAGAGGCTCAGAAGCTTTGGTTGTTACACATACGCAATGCATAGGCCCGTCAGCCATAAAAAGCGACTTGGATAACTTGTATGCCTTCTTTTGTATTGATGTAACAATTGTAAATAGTGCTGATCGACCTTTGTAGAGAATAGTTTATACAGCATATTCTATTATTGCTGATTCTCAGTGAACTATTGTTTTAAAAAAAAGAAGAAAAAAAGAAATTTTTCTATTTACACCTTATATTTTGTTATGCTGTTGACCCATGGCACTTTAACAAAACTCTGTGGGTTTTGCATAGCTGGTCAGTCATGGGATATATTAAATAACTGTTGTTGCACAGAAATGAATTTGCACCTGCTATATTGTGCTTTCCTACTACAGATTTTAGAACCTTTTCCAGAAGACTTTTGAAGAAAGCATGTCCAATCATTCTAAGAAAAAAAAAATGCCATACTTGTACAGCCAATTTCTTTTCTACAATCCATATTTTGTAACACTAAGTATTTTCATTCTTTGTCCTGCACCTTTATGTATTAGCAGTATCAAATAGAATTCATTCCATGCTTGTGATAATTGTAAGCAGAATAAATGTCTAAAGTAGGTGTAAATAGTAAATTCTACGGCTTACAGTTTAAAAAAGGAAAAACAGAACAAACATGTATCTGATTGATACTGCCATGGTTCAACACCGGGCCTGGAGATATTCTCTAGTGAGCGATTGTATTTTTTGTTTTTTGCTTTATTATTATTATTTTTTTTTGTAACATGGCTTTGTAAATAAAATAATTTATATGTTTGTAAGAAACAGATGGGTTTTGTCATTATTTATCTTTGCAAAGCAAAACCGGTATGTATTGCAAGACTGCCCTTTTTCTTCCCAGAGGCTGAAATACACCATGCAGCTGGCCAGCACTGAGAATTCGACTGGTGGTTCAAAAGATCTGCCCAGTTCTCTGTACAGGGCTGAATTGCTCTGGGATTATTTTTGGCATTTGTGTCTAAAATATTTCTGCGTTTACATGTCAGGACACGTGTGACAATCAGCTACTGAGGTTTTTGCACTGATAAATCATTTTTAAAATCCTTTGCTTAGCTGAATGCATTTTCTCATTCCTTATCAGTGTAAGAGTTAACTTTGCTGGAGCTGCTAGATTTAGGAATTCTCACTTCAATGGGCAGTACAAATTTATAACCAGTCTTTTTATCAGTTAATACTAAAAATGCAACTTCTATCTAGGCATTAAGATTCTTGTTCTGTGTAAAGCCTGTTCCAGTTACAGATCAAATGAGACTTCAATTGTTCATTGGCTTGTCAGCTCTGCAGAGAGGACTGCAGTTTTTTCTCTCGCAGCAAATCTCTTCTGCAAACCTGGGGAAGTGGTACATTTTTATGCTCCTTTTGTGAAGTATCTGGAGACTCAGTCTTGGAGATACTGTAGGGAAGATGCGCACAGTTATGGTATGATCTTTTTCAAAAGCAAGAAATTTGGGCTGCAAACTGTGTTTTTGTATGCATACACTCAGAACTGGCAGAGGAGATAAAGCTGGCCTGTGTTACAGGAAACAGTAATCGGAGGAGGAAAATTTTACCTTCTAGGTAAACAGTTTTTTGTGCAACGTCTCGCATGTTCTGATGCATGTGGCAAAAGCTACTCCTGAACTTCCTCTTTACTGTCCAATTTGTGCCTCGGTCTGAGCTGCTTATATTTTGAAAACTTTTTTTTTTTTTTTTACTCTTGGGTTTATCTTTTCTAGTATAGAAAAACTGAACATCGTGAAGTAACAGTAGATACTGAAGTTTCATCTGATAGAGTGGTCCCCACGTATGGCTGAAGAGTGATGTTGCGTTTGTAAGATGCTTTGCTATTTCTAGCAGCCATTAGAACTTAAAGCTACCACCAAGAAAATGGAATATTGCAGCCATGAGTTATTAGTTGCTTGCCATCATTGCCCATGGCCAGCAAATGCCAAAGACCACTAGTTTTCCAAATATGACTGAGCCATTTTTTAGCACTTACAAGTCCGTTAGAATGATTTACAAGCTGTTCTCTATTTGAAGTGGGTTTTCCCCACCCTTTTTTTGGTTATGCAGCAAGTATTTTGCTTGTAGCAGTACTCTTCTGCTTGTATTATCTAATGTGCTCTAAATACCACCAGTTTCAGAGAGAAGCAGATCACACTAACTTTTCTATTCATTGCACTCTAGTTTTTATGCTTCTGTTTTTACCACAGAAATATTTATTTTAGAAGAAAGTCATTGCTGTCTGCAGCAGTATCTGTTTTACTCTTCCAAATCTGTCAGGATTCACAATTGGAAGAAATGCCAAATACTGATTCCAGAAACATTTGGAGGAGATTCGTACAACAGATTCAGACTTCAGAACACAAGAAGTTTATTTCATGCAAATTTTTATGCTGTTTTGCTCCTTGAGTACCTCTTCAAAGCTACTACTCAAAACAAGTACAGACCTCTTTTAAAACATACTTTCCTAAGTAGAAGAAAGATAAAGCTGATAATTCAGCAGCAGGTCCCTGTTTGCGCTTGCTTCAACTGGAGAATCCGTGGTAGATGGTATGCATACTCTTGTTCTCATTTTGTAATGCATCACAAATGACATGGGCACAATTCTTTTATGTATGTTTTTTTGTTGTTTGTGGCTGACCCACAGAAATCTTTAGATCTAGTCTATAATCCCTACGGAAGGGAGAAGGGAAGCTTTAGGGAAGCTAAATAACAGAAGCCAGAAATAACAATCAGGATCCAGAAGAACTTGATTTGAGAGTAAGGACACCAGTAGGGATTCGAGATGGTACACAACATTCAGCTGCCCGTTTGCAGATTTCCCAAACCAGAAAGATTTAGCTCTGAAATTGAATCTGGGTTTGATTAACTTGGAGCAGTTACTAACATGGTTGATATGACACCACAAGAGACTAGTTTTTCAGAAATGTTGTCTAGCATGAACAAAGTATATTTACAGAGTGCTATAGGTACAAAGGCCCGTTGGTGTAAATACATTGTATGGCCTGATGAACTCATGAGCAACCCTGTGAGTCCCATGTCTGTCTCGGCTATTTCCAGCCTGGCCCCTGCTGAGGCAGAGGAGGGACTGCTGACAGTAAGCATCACTGCAGAAGAGAAACCATCATCCCTTCCCAGTGGCAAATTTACTCAGTGCCAATTCGGAGAGCTGTGTCACGGGCAAGTAGACAGGTCACTGGAAAAGGATTACTCGGGCTCAATCCTTTAGGCTTTCCCACCACAGATGCATTGGTCAGCTCCACGCTTAAATTGCAACTATTTGCCTGCCTTTTTCTTTAGCTTTCTCTTATTTTGACCCATAATTAGTTGGGGGGGTTTATGGTCTGGTTTTTGGGTTTGTTTTTTGGGGTTTGGTTTTTGTTTTTTAATCTTGCCTTGAGTTACTCCTTCCTTGTTGATTCTCTTCAGGATTTGTGTTTGGACAACATAGCCTGAACAGTAATACCAACACACGGGGCCTGCTGCTTCATTATCAAGGAGACACCAAGAAGGTGCAGAAAGCTGGTTTTCACTTGTGTTATTTTGCAGAGTGCTTCCAAGGCCTACAGCTTTGCACCCTGAGCATGGATGCTTCCCAAGAAAGAAAACATTCAAAGGGAAATGCTCCATTTGTGCTCCTTAACCTAGAACAAGCCAAGTGCATGTTTGCTCCTGGAGTACGTAACAGATGCAGTGTTGGGCCTTTCATTCCTAACAGACAATTCTCTAATGCCTCTTCTACTTTGTCCCTAGCATATTACTGGACCACTCACTCCCATGACCTCCACTATTGATCTTCCAGTCCCGAACTCCTTTCATCTGCAGTTAAATGCCAATGAAGCCTGAAAGATACTAGTTTCGCCATCTCGAGCTTCTGTTCAGGGCCTTTGAGCCCAGTCTGGCCTTCAAAATCCCTTACGAGGTTGCCAAGAAAGGAAAAGAGGAAAAGAAATTGAAGCACAAAGTGAGTGGGTAAGCACTGCAATGAACCTCTGGCTCCGACTGACCACTTGCCCTGACTTAGGGGGACATAATAGCAGCCTGCCAATACCTATGAGGAGGTCGCTACGAGACCAGAGCCAGACTCTTCAGTGCTGCATGGTGGAAGGGCGAGAAACAATGAATGTAAGTTGATACAAGGGAGGTTCAGACTGGATACAAGGAAAAACCTTCCTGCCATGGAGACAGTCAAGCGTTAGAACAAGTTGCTTAGAGAGGTAGGTGCGATCTCCAACTTTTGAGATTTTTCAAACCCAAACTGGATAAAGCTCTGAGCAACCTGGTCTGATCTCAGATCTGACCCTGCTTTGAGCAGGAAGCTGGTCTACAGACCTTCTGTCCTATGATCCAGATGTGAAGAAAGCAATAATGACAATCTAACTCCTCTCTCAAGGACTCATCTTGTAGGGTCGTTTTCTTAGAAAAGCTCCCTCAGGCCTCCTTAGGGTAGTTTCCTAATACCAAACCCTCTTCATTGCTCGGTCTTTGTTATTCATTAACCAGCTTTCTTTAGTAGCTGTAATTCCCACTCAGAGCTGGGGACACCCAAGACCTTATCATTGGCCTTTCTCACTCTACTATGTCTTTTCTAGATAGAGATTTCACTGGATTTTTTCCAAATGTCCCTGAGATATACCACAGTTTCCTTTGAATCACTTTACCTGCTTTGTTTCTAAGCCAGCATAGGATGAAGCAGAGAAACTACTGTCCACTCTAATGAGTCTTGTCTTTTTACGTCCACAGAACCAAGCACTTCAGATGTTCTCCAAAAATGTTAATCTTTTGAGGAATCACGAACATCTTTACGCTAAGGATGGCTAACTGTGTAACAGACTAGATGGCAGTATTTTCTAAATCTACTATCCCAGTAATCAGTACATTCTCTTTTATAGCACATGCACTGTTGCAGCTTATATGAAGAGCATGCCTATTCTTGACACCTATGGGAAACCACCTACATTGACATTGGCCTCCACCAAATGCTGATGCATCCAAAAAAAATTTGGACTGTGGGGGGTCAGAGAAACTAAGGCGCTGGAGATGGATCTCTGATCTCCACCACCCTGTGTAGTGTGAACTCGCTCAACAGATACTGCTAGAATAAAAGCATCTGTGGTCTTAAGAGCTATGGGCTCAGAGCCACCTTAAACAGACAAATATACTGTATATCTCAAAGAATTAAGGCTCCTGCTAAGTATCTTCTTTTTTCCCCTTGGCCTTCAGCAAAAGTCCCACTGTAGTTCTAGGAAATCAATTTCTTGGGTTTTCAGTCATCTGGGAAGTGGCCAGTTCTGTAAGAGAGCTAAGTTTCCCGATATTAAACTAGCCTTTTTTTGTGACCTATTTTTCCTTCTCTTTGACTCGGAAACAGTAACTGGAAGAATTTTTCTAATTCCTGATATTTAATTTTTCTCAGTATATGATTTTCGATGGCAGGTTTAGTATTTATTTTGCAGTTGACTGAAAAAAAAAAATTCACAGCTTAGCCTTAAAACTGCAGGCTCCTGTTCTTGTAGAAGGGACTGGGATGGCAACATGGTGGAAGCACAAGTGATCCAGGCTACTTCTGTACTACATCAAGGACAATTTCTTGACAGAAGTGCTCAACAAGCTGAGTCTGGCTATGCTAGACATGCTAATCACACATAAGGAAGGTCTGGCTGGGAACATTGACACTGGGAGCAGCCTTGGCAGCAGCGACTACGGGACAGCAAAGCTTAAGATTCTGAGGGAAGTGAGGAAGATAAATACTCAAACTACAACCCTGGAATTCAGGAGAGCAGACTTTGTCTCCTGCAGACATTTTGTTGGCAGAATCCCACAGAAGACTGCCCTGAAAGGCCCCAGGGAGCTAGCTGAAGCACAGTAACAGTCCATTCTGACATGCAGGAAGTTGAGCAGACATGGGAGAAGGCCAGGGTGGCTGAATGGAGAACTCCTGACAAATAAAATCCAAAAGTTGAGTATACAGACTGTGGAAGCAGGGGTGGGCTACCCTGGAGGAATACAGAAACGTTGCCTAGGCATGCTGAAGCAGAACTAGGAAAGCTAAAGCTCAGCTGGAGATAGAATTAGTGAGGGATGTGAAGGGCCCTTTCTGTATATTAACATGGAAGGAAGGCTAAGGAAAATGTGGGCCCCACTATGTGGGGTGCGTAACCTAGTGACAAAGGACATGGAAACCACTGAGGTACACTTGGTGCTGCCTTTGCTTCAGGTTTTAACTGGAGAGGTCTGTGCTCAGATCTTTGGGCAGAGTCTGGGGAGCGAGGTACTACCCACATAAGAGGAAGCCTGAGTTAGGGACTACTTACCCTGCATCTACACCAGTCTATGGGGAAAGGTGGGCAGGATTCAAGGATGCAGGCTGGTATCGTTACAAGGCTGCTATCACCCTTGAAAGATCATGGTGAACAGGGTACAGGGTTTCTAAGGACTGGGAAAAGGCAAATGCAATGCCCATTTTCAATAAAGACCCAGGGAACCACAGGCTGCTCAGCCCAACCTCAACCCCAGGCAGATTATGGAACAAACACTCCTGGAAGCCATGTCCAGACAACGTGGATTTACCAAGGGGAAACCATGCCTGACCAACCTGCTTGCCTTCTGTGATGAAATGACTGCCTTCAGCTACTGACCAGAGAACAGTGAGCATTGTTTTCTTTGACCTTAGCAAGGCTTTTGACACCGTCTGCTTTTGTATTCGTACAATAAATTGGAGAGATACAGATTCAAGGAGTAGACTGTGAGGTGGGTGGAAAATCGTCTCAACAGCAGGGCTCAGAGGGTTGCAGTCAGCCGTTTGAAGTCCAATTGGTTGGTTGTTACTAGTAACATGCCTCAGGGGTTAATACTGAGTCAAATCATGCTGAAGGGTTTCATTACCATCCTGGATGTTGGGATGGGTTGCAAATTCATGAATAACAACAAATTGGAGGTCGGGAGGTGATTGATACAGCAAGGGCAGGGCTGTCCTTCAGAGGGACCTCAAAAGGCTAGAAAATTGGGCTGACAGGAACCTCATTAGGTTCAACAAAGACAAGCATGGAGTCCTGCACCTGGGAGGGGAGGCATAACCCCATGTCATTGAACAAGCTGGGTGCTGACTGGCAAGAAAGCAACTTTGCAGGAAAAGGGGCCAGTGGACAAGGTGAATGTGAGTCAGTAATGGGCCCCTGGGGTGCTGAAAGCTAGCCACAGCCTGAGCCGCAGCAGTAAGAATGTAGGCAGCAGTTAAAGGGAACTGATTGTCACCCTCTGTTTTGGCACGTGTGAGACTGCATCTGCAGAACCATGTCCAGTTTGGGCCTCCACCGTACAAGATGCAGCATGCATACTGAAGTGAGTCCAGTGGAGCGCTACCAAGATGATTAACAGCTGAAGCATATGATGTATAAGGACATGCTAAAAAAAAAGTTTTGTTCAGTTTTAAGACAAGATTAAGGAGGGGGGGAGAGGGGTCTGAGCGCTGTCTTCAGCTGCAAGATGGCTGCTTGTAGAAAAGATGGAGCCAGACTCTTCCTGGTGGTGCACAACAAAATGGCAAGAAGCAATAGACATAAGGTAGAGCAAGGGGAATTCTGATTAGACACAAGGCAAAAATTCTTTGCGATGTAGTTGAGCATTGAGGGACCAAGCGATGTTGTGGAATCTCCATCTTGGAGATAGTAAAAACTTGACTGGACAAGGCTGTGAACAACCTGATCTCAACTTTGAAATTAGCCCAGTTTCGGGGGGCGGGGGGGAGTGTGTTTGACCACATGATCTCCAGAGGTCCATTCCAACCTAAATTATTCTGCCATTCTATACAGTAAAAACAAAAAACAAACAAAGAAAGCGTTCTGGATGTTGAGATAATTAATACCCAGAAGCTTAATATTACTGCTGTTAAGCACTTTCCCTTATAAATGTATAGCGTAAAATCCCCTGGCAAGGAACTCGCCTCTATCTTGGAAGTCCTTGAGGATACACAATGGAAGCGTGCAGTGGAGCTTTTCCAAAGCAGCTACAGAAATGGCAGGACCCAATCACTACAGCTCCACCCTATGCTCCCTGACACAGAGTGCTTTCTAATGGCCATGTCGAGGAGGAGCAGAGGCGGGTAAAGCATTAAAGGAGCTGCTACTCGGCATGTTCACTGTAAGCGTATGGCAGACCTAGGCATCCTTCCCAGCCCTTATTGCGCCTGTCTCTTCCCACAGCCCTAGACTGCAGTCTTCTAACAAACACTCCCATTTGGAAGAACGTGTCCATCTGCCTGTTTTCCTCAGCAAGACAAATGCTTGTTCTGCAGCCAGCTTCCTATCTGACCTGCAGTCCCTGTTCCTCTTTGTTACGACCTTTAAGACTCCTGGTAGTCTATTTAGTCCTATGTAATTAGATAAAATGCTTAAGTTATTAATGATATTCTGCAAAAGGCTCAGCTTCTGTCACAACAGGTATTAAGTCTTTCAACCAAATTAAATTTTAAGTAACCAGGACACTTTAAACATATGAAAATAGATTTGATCTTTGAGTTCTTGATTAAAACTCAATTAGAAGCATCTATGTAACAGAACCAGAAAACTTTCAGATGTTTGTCAAATATTGTTTTTCTTAGTCACCAGAAGCTCAGTTTCTCTTACAGTAGTCCATGTTAGCTTCTCACAAATTGTCCTGAACTATGATACTTTTAGGACTCATATATATATAACTGATACATCATTGTATGAACTGAGGATAATAAATTCCCTACATGCTGCATTATCAGAACATTTTTTTCAAGGAAATAAATTGTGCTTTCTTAACAGTGAAATGAAATTAAAAAAAAATATTTCTAGTTGTAAATCAAATTGGGGTTTGCTCTGCTTAGTGATTTTTTGAACCACTCCTCAGAGAAACACACTTCAACCTGTAATTCCTGTGTTTATTCTTAAAATTTCAGCCCTCAACATATGTTTCATACCAGTTATCTTTGTTGACCACTGAAGGAGAAACTAACTTTGCCAAATGCTGTTTTCCCTGCCCCAAACACTGATTTACTACCTTTCTCTCCAGTCTTTCATTTGCTCCTTCCTTTCCAGTCAATCTTCCTATCCTTAGGTTCTTGTTTTCATGAAAATGTTTTCCATGTCTTTTTATTTCTCCTCTGCTGGCCAGCTCAGTCTTGTTTGTACTTCTCCGCACTTCAATCTACACTTTCTCCCATCACTCTTCCTTAGGAAAAAACTGTGCTAGTGCTTTGCAAACTCTATTGAAAGAGGTAGAAAAGTCAAATGCAGGAATGGGTTCAGTAACTATGAATTATATTCCTTAGGAAAAGGAGGTTTCCATCATTGCCAGGTAGCTGTCAAGGGAAGTAACTGTTATGAACCTACAATTCCTCTAGCCCTAATTAAGACTTGAAGCAGGTAGCATTAATAAGTTTAAAATACTAAAGAATACTGACAGAGCAATTTTGGATGCTGCCTTTCTTCCACTCTAAGAAAAAAAAAGACGAATTCTATTAGCGTCTTCTGATATTTTTGTTTTGGCAAATAGTTAAGTATAGATAGTGCTAGACTTTTCACAGGAATACCATTTTTTTCTTTACTATGTACTCATTTTTCATTGTCGGTTTTTATTTGATGGCAGATGGTTGTCTTTTTGTAGATTTGTTTGAATTTTCTTTTTTTAGTGGGGCACTTGATGATCTTTCTCCTACTTACTTACATTGGGTAGTACAGTAAAAAGGTTCTTTGATGTCTCTTCTCTGTTTGCGCAGGCTATGCTGCAAACCTCAATAATGATTTTAAAATGTAACCTTTCTTACTCTTAGTTGCTAATCATTGATTTTGCTTATCGCACCGGTATTGAGCACACATGACTCCGTTCCAGTAGGTGGCAGCTGAAAATTTTGCTATCCTCTCGCCTTTACTAGGAGTAACCAAGACCACCTTTGGCAAGGGAGTCCAGGTAGTGGACGGTGTACGGGAAAAAGCAAAGGGTGTAGACTGCATTACCGCATATGGAAGGAAATGTGTCTGAAATTGAGAAGACTTGCATAAATGTTAAAAACAATAGCGTGTAATTTGCTTTCCCCATGAATTAATGCAACTGCGGTACAAACCAGTAACTTGGCTGGAAGCGATGATCTTTCTGTTTTAGTGCTAACGTGATGACATCTAGGCAAATTAAATTTTGCTTTCCACTTTCTACCCGTTGAAGCAGGGGCTGCGCAGTCAGTGAAATCTCAGTAATGCGATTTTCTCCGCCTGACGCCCTGAGCTGACTGAAGGAGCACCACACCAGCTCTGGCGCGCAGCTGCTTTCCCTCCCGCCGAGCCCCCGCGTCCGTTTTCTTGCGGCGGTGTCATCCTGAGGACTCTCCTCCTCCTCCGTGTACGAACAGCTCCCACCCTCACCCTTCCTGCTCACCTCCGCTCTC